AAAAATACCCCGTGGCCTCAATTTCAAATATAGCTAAATGAAAAGAAAAAAGTTTTCGGCGTTTGTAGGTATCAAACATATCGTCAGGAAAATAGGGGCTCACAATGTTTTAGTTCAGTCTTTGAGACCCAGTTGCTTCGCACGTGTTGTGGTCAAATTTTTGCCAAGAATCAAAGGCCGAAATGTGAACTTCCTTCATGAAAACCGCTTCGATAAGGGTCTAGTTTGAAAATTTAGCTATTAATTTCGATTTCATGAGCATATTTTGGTTACACGTTAAGTATTTTTGTGCTTGATGCGATTCAAAATTTGTTGTATGTTCAAGTCCGGCTTTTGTGTAATTTTGGTGATGACCGGAACAGAAATAAAGATATTTTAAAAACTGGCCGTGGCCTCACGATAAAACTTTCTACAAATGTTCTCTGTTTCATGTACTTTTATTTGATATCTTAGGTATAAGCGTAAAAATAGGGGCTCATACAGTTTAAGAGGTTGTAAAATGCATGACTTGCCTCTATTTTCATGTAAACATTCGAAATTCTTCGACAGCAAAGTAGCAACTGTTTCAGATCGAATGCACACGGACAGCCCACCAGAAACAATGGCAGGGTACTGAAATAGAACGTCACTAAAAAGTTCTGTATGATTAATTTAGATCATGTCCACTCTTTCAACATGAAACAGTCATTTATTTTGTACAAACATTTTGCAATATTTACACGATTGTGCTTTTTTGTAAACACGCGTTGCGTGTATTCCACACAATTGCGTGACTCATTTTACTCGCGCATGCTCAGACAAATTTCCCACCTGTTGTCCGTGAATATGTTTGACACAGTAATATAATACTAAATCCTACCTTTCAAGTTAAATACAACATTTTGTGCTTTTTTCTTTTTCTGGGACGATTTTTTCAATATTTTGTCGATTTTGAAACCAAATTTGCCGAATCATTCTTTTTGAAAAGCATTATTTACTACCCCGGTGGTAAATAATGCCTCAGATTTACTAGTCAACTAGCCAATCAGAACGCGCGAAAGCTCATTTGATATGCAAAATTTATACTAATACGTATTAACAATAATTCATAATTCCCCGATTCCCCTGTCCCCCCGTTCCCGCATTCCCCGTTCCTCCATTGCCCGTTCCCCCATTCCACGTTTTTCGAAAGAGAAGACGATCTTTTTGCCTGTATTCAATCTACAAACACTAAAAACAAGTTTACTACTCGTATTTTACTCGTATGTACTCGTATGTACTCGTATTCTACTCGTATGTACTCGTATGTACTTGTGTTTTACTCGTATGTACTCGTGTGTTACTCGTATGTTACTCGTATGTACTCGTATGTTACTCGTATGTACTCGTGTGTTACTCGAATGTACTCGTATGTACTTGTGTGTTACTCGTATGTTACTCGTATGTACTCGTGTGTTACTCGTATGTACTCGTATGTACTTGTGTGTTACTCGTATGTTACTCGTATGTACTCGTGTGGTGTTTTAGTCACGATCCATTTTGAGGTCGTCGTGGCTTCACGGATTATTCTCATTAGTGAGCAAGTCAGCAAGCGAAGGTATACAAAAGATACCCAAATATGTACGAATAATTATATTGTTGATCCTCGCTGGCATGTCATTTAGATATAAATGTATATCGTACATTAAACGCTGTGTACTATTTACTGTATAAACTGCTGACAATTTCGTCATCGATACGGCTTCGACCACTATGCTTCCACTATTGGCACACTCGTGATTTCGAAGAAATTAATAAATACATGCTCATTTATCATTTATTTAGACCACAGTTAGTAAAATTTTAGACGTATTCGGTATTCCAAATCCCAATCTATCTGACCGTATTTTAGTAATAGCTTCAAATATTCAGAACCTTGTTCTTTCAGTCGCACATGTAATGTAGTCACGTCATGTCACGTGATGTAATATATATTTAGGTATCAGAAAGAGACCACGTGTAAGAAAATAGGGTTTTGATATTGAAGGCAATAAAAGTACATTTTTATACTGTACAACTTGTACTAAAGAGATACATTATATTGGCGACGAGTTTATTTTAATGCTGAACCCAAACGAAGAAGAAGTGAACACAGAAGAAATCTCGATGGCCACAACTTTGGATTTAAAACCACCACCTCCGTTTGATGCAGAGGGTGATAATTCCTCGCTAGCCCAACGCTGGAAAGAATGGCGAGAACGTTTTAATATGTATACAGTAGCTGCCAACATCAAGGATGATGCACAGAAACGCGCAGTGTTATTGTATGTAGCTGGCCCGTCGGTTCATAAAATATTCAAAACACTACAAGACACAGGGACAGATTTCAAAACAGCTCTAGAGAAGCTCGACGAATATTTTCAGCCACAAAAGAAAGTAATATATGAACGCTATGTGTTTAAACAGACACATCCAACGCCTGGAGAATCGGTAGATAGCTACATAACTCGTCTACGTACACTAGCCGAAACGTGTGAATTCGAAAGCGCCGAGAATGAAATACGCGATCAGTTTGTTATGACATGCTCGTCTCATGGATTTCGTACGAAGCTTTTACGCGAGACAGATCTGACATTGGTTAAGCTTATTACCATGGCGCGAGCGAAGGAATTAGCAGAAAAACAAGCGTCGAATATCTCGGGACACAATAACTCTCGGAACAATGTTAATCGTGTAAAAGACGAGGGAAATGACGAAGCTAAAGACAAGGTAAGACATGCTAAATATGTACCAAAACCACACAAACAAAATCAATGCCGAAATTGTGGAAATGAATTTAAACAAGGGCATAAAGATGTCTGTCCTGCGAAGGGCAAAACCTGTAGAGCTTGTGGAAAGCTCAATCATTTCGCTAGAGTTTGTCGAAGTCGAAAAAATCCCCCGAAAGATAGTAAGAAAGATTCGAGAGAGTCTGTTAGAGTTGCACAACAACAACAAACCCAAAAACAAAGCCCTCCTAATTCGTCCGACGATGAGTATACTTTTGCTGTTTCATCATCAAAAATAACTAACATTCAAATACAGATCAATGGGACCCCTATCGCTGTGATTATCGATTCAGGAGCGACGACAAATATTCTTGATAGTGAAGCATTCGCTTGTATTAGGAAAAGAAATAAACATGTACAATTAGAGCCAACACAAACAAATATATATGCATATAATGCCGTTCAGCCCTTGCCATTGCTCGGAAAGTGTCGTTTAGCGGTTGAATCGAATGGAAAGCGTACAATATCGACGTTTTATGTTGTCAACGGCAAAGCAGGATCACTTCTCGGTAGTGAAACAGCCGCAGAGTTAGGCATTTTAAAAATAAAAGTTAACGAAGTCTCTAAATTTCATAGCATGAAAACAACCGGAAGTCGAGGTAGGAATGAAATCAACACCGGAAGCCACTCAAACGGAAGTGACGCGAACAGTCAAAGTGACTCCGGAAATCGAGAAATAAGGGACAGAAATAGCCTGAAAAACATTGACATTAATACACAGAAAATTTTAGATAAATTTCCAGAACTCTCTGACGGAATAGGGTGTTTGCAAAATTATGAACAGTCATTGCATGTTGATCGTACAGTTACCCCTATTGCACAACGCCCTCGGAGAGTCCCTTTCCATTTACGAAAGCAAGTTTCAGATAAACTAGAAGAATTACAAAGTCTCGATATTATTGAACCTGCCGAAGGACCTACTTCATGGGTATCACCCATAGTAGTTGCTCCCAAACCACACAATTCAGATGAAATCAGATTATGCGGAGATTACCGTAGACCAAATCAGGCATTGTTAAGGGAGAGACATCCAATCCCAACAGTTGATGAGTTAATGGAAGAAATGTCTGGTGCTGTCGTGTTTTCTAAGCTAGACCTCAAAGCAGGATACCATCAGATAGTCCTAGAAGATAACTCGCGTAACATTACCACTTTTTGCACACACAAGGGGTTGTTTCGGTATAAGCGCCTGCCATTTGGTCTGTCATGTGCTTCAGAAGTATTCCAAAATGCAATACAGCAAGCGCTCCAAGGTCTACACGGCGTACGAAATATCGCAGACGATATTATTGTATGGGGTAAAACCCAAACCCAGCATGACAAGAATTTAGAAGCACTGTTACAGCGATTAGTTGTCAAGAAACTTACATTAAACCTGGAGAAATGCAAGTTTAATCAACCGTAACTTTGGTTCTATGGCTACATTCTGTCAAAGGACGGACTGTCAGCAGATCCAAAGAAAGTCGAGGCAATTAAAAATTTCAAAACACCAGCAGATGTCAGTCAACTACGCAGTTTCTTAGGTCTGGCCAATTACTGTTCACGATTTATTAAGGACTTCTCCACTCTAGCAGCCCCTCTACGTGAATTAACAACCAAATCGTGTAAATGGTCTTGGTCAACTATGCATGAGAAAGCTTTCACCAAAGTTAAAAATGCTATTGCTTCGGACTGTACGATGGCATTTTATGATCCAAATCGACCTACGAAATTGACAGTGGATGCAAGTCCTGTCGGACTTGGTGCAGTATTAGCCCAAACACAAGAAATGGGCAAGATCGCTGCATAGCGTATGCTAGTCGTTCCCTAACGCATGTGGAAGCTCGCTACTCGCAGACCGAAAAAGAGGCATTGGCTGCAGTGTGGGGTTGTGAACGTTTTCATCTTTACCTTGTTGGAACACAATTTGACCTCATCACTGACCACAAACCATTGGAAGTCATTTACAGCCCAAAGTCCAAACCGCCTCTCCGGATAGAACGTTGGTTACTACGATTGCAACAATACAAGTTTAATATCAAGTATCGACCAGGTAGCAGCAACCCAGCTGACGTGTTGTCTCGACAATCTTTATTCGCCAACTACAAGTCAAGTACCATAGCGGAGAAAAATGTCAATTTCATCCAAAGTCACTCGGTTCCTAAATCTCTCACGCTCGATGAGATTCGTATCGCAACGTTAAATGATCCTGAACTGCAGAGAGTAACTAGCGCAGTAAAGGAAGATCGATGGAACAAAACAGATAGTTGTTTAAGCCCATATCGTAATCAGCACGAACAGTTGACAGTTTCGGAATGTGGAATTATACTACGAAATTCACAAATCGTTATCCCAAAGAGTCTCCGTAATCGTGTCCTTTCTATCGCTCATGAAGGACATCAAGGGATAGTTAAAACTAAAATGCTTGTACGCAGTAAAGTATGGTGGCCTGGTATTGACAAGCAAGTGGAGCAAATGGTTAAAGAATGTATACCCTGCCAAGCAGCAGTACACCAGTCACCAAAATGTCAACCACCCCTGAATATGACAAAGTTACCTCCACATCCTTGGCACACACTTAATGCAGATTTCTGTGGTCCATTCCCAAATGGCGAGAAATTGTTGGTCGTGATTGACGCCTATTCCAGATATCCAGAAGTTGAAGTGATGCAAAGCACGACAACCACGGTTGTGATTTCCAAACTCCAAAGAAATTTTGCCCGACATGGATGTCCCGAAGAATTGATAACCGATAACGGACCCCCGTTCAATACGGTTGAGTTCACCGAATATCTAGCTGCACATGGAGTCCATCACCGCCGAATCACACCTTATTGGCCTCAAGCCAACGGTGAGGCAGAGCGATTCATGAAAACAGTAACAAAAGCAATCCGTACTGCTCATTCGGAAGGAAAAAGATGAGAAAGTGAATTAGATCTTTTTCTTCTCAACTACAGATCCACACCTCATTCTACGACACACACTAGTCCAGCTGAACTTTTGTTCAATCGCTCAATTAGAAATAAGCTTCCTAGTTTCTCATCCCTACAACACAATGATGGCCCTATGGAACACCACGTTGTTCGAGATAAGGAGGAAAAGGAGAAAATGAAAGTCCATGCTGATAGAAGAAACAACGCGAAAGAAAGTCAGTTGAAAGTTGGTGATTACGTGCTAATGCAAGTCCCGAAGGACAATAAGTTATCAATGCCTTTCAATCCAAAACCATTTAAAGTGATTGAAATCAAAGGCAACATGGTAACAGCTCGTAATACAGAGCGCACCGTAACCCGGAATGTATCGTAATGTAATGATTTTACTTGTTGCAAGACTCTTCCCTACCCCTAGACGAGTAAATTTGCTTGCATTGAACGGGGTAAAACAAAAAGTATAATATTTCTAAGTTCTCTTTATATACCACAATTTTATTTAAAATAAGTGACAATTCTATATCATACATAAAGACCCCGGGATCGGGTTTTTGATCCTACCATTGCTATGTTCAGGCCTGCACCAAAGAATCAGAAATATATAAACCAGGGTTCGTAGTCTCCAAGACAAAAAAACTTCAAAGACTTTCAGAGATTTTTTCTGCCTATTGTCAAAGACTTTTCAAAGACCTTTGAGAGCAATCAGGTGTCGAAAAATTGCGATGTATAAGCACCATTTTACCAGGTAATTAGTCCCATCAAATCACATCCTAAAATGCACTTTTTGGTCGATATCTGCGAAAATCGTGCTTCAATCAATCTATTTTATCAGCTAGGAAATCGTATAATCAACTAATCACTAAATAATTTAAAGACTTTTAAAGACTTTCTTCCCTTTTTCACACACTTCAAAGACTTTTCAAAGACCTTAAAGACCTGCATTCAAATTTAAAGACTTTCAAGGATTTCAAAGACCGCTACGAACCCTGTAAACACATAACTGCATGCGAACACTTCCTCTACTATACAATACTAATTAGTCTGCCCCATACTCTATTTAATCATGACGATTTTACAAATGAAGCAATTATCATTAACAACTGTAGAATATTAGATAAATCTAGACATTGGTCCTTATTACTTTTCAAAGAGTCTCTCTACATTCATTCATTCTCTACATCCAGAAACCGGAACTTAACCATGGATGCAAAGCCTCAAAAGAACTCGTAATTTTTGGTTAACTTAGCATATCATATGTCATTTAATCTTGTATATATATCATATTATAACATGTACATTTTTCCGTACCGTCATTCCTGATTATGACTGCAAGAGAGTCGAAACGTCGAATTAAAAATGTTAACTGTTTTCGGACTGTCCATTGTTTTGTATTTTTTTTTTAAATTGGTAATACGACTAGTGTTTATTTACTATTGTATTAGATGAAGTATCAAATATATTAAGGTGTTGATGTTATGACGTATGGCAATCACGTGATTTGTTTTCATCTAATGTCTTTACGCGGGAAAAATTGCAATGACGTGAATGCAAATAATTTGTGTTGTCTTCATGTCATTGTTTTTATATGGTTCCATGCTTCGTGGTAGCTGTGATTGATTTAGGACATCGTTTAAAGTCCTATGATAGTTGATCTTCCGTAATTTCTCAAAGAATCCGAGGAATTAATCATGAAAATAGCAGAGGTAATGGGCCAATGGCTGGGAGTCAACTTAGGTTTATTAATGTACAAAGTGGGAATCCCGAGAACATTTTTCAAAAAATCTAGTTCTAGGCATTTTCATGAAATACATGCCTAAGTCTCCCGCCTATGATACGTTTGGCTGCGTGATTTGGACGTAGAATTAGTGTTACAGTACAATTTGTAAATAGTTGAAAATTGGGGGAGATATATGTCAAATTTTACCATGGTGTTTCCACTTCAAGGAAATTCGAAATTTCCCAGCCAGAAATAGTGAATAAGAAAGTCGTTTTTTATATAATTGTTCCATGTTCAAATACAGCGTAGTTATCTGCTAGCTAGGAAACACCACTCCTTCTATCATGCAACCATTTGTGTAGATATTGATGATGCTGGAAAGTTGTATCTTTGCGCCACTACCACGTGCCAAGTACGTAGTTGTGACCATAGTTAATAGAATAGATGGTTTGGGAACTCATTCGGTCGTTCAACGTCACGTTCGTATGGATTTTTTCCCAACTAACCAATAGCAATGTCTTAAGAAAGTTACCTATCCGTGACTCGAACAATAGGGTAAATTGAAAATTGCTATTGGTGGATTTGGCAAAAATACAATACACACGTGACGGTGAAGGACTAGATTTATGAACGTTGACTAACATAGATGAGTTATATTGTTATTCTAATGAGTTTCCAAACCATCAATTCTATTAACTATGTTGTGACCAACACATGACATAACTACACCCACTCTTAGCCAACATCTATCTCGTATGCAACAACCCGGCTACAAGAAAGTCACAGAATCAATACGTAGTTGTCATGCAAATACCCCATTGACCAGGCACGTCTTGAAAATCGATTGCAAATGCACCACCCCATTCATATTCCAAAGTATTTTGCATGTGTGAAGGGTGCGCAGTGTAAACCAAGGTTTGGACAATTGCTCATTTCTCGATAAGATTTGTCCTTGGGCGGTTTTTTCAATGGTATACAGTGTACTGTGTTCACTATATTGTAATTGCTCTCTGGAGTGTGTTCGAGCCATGAGCCACAGCCTGATGTTAGGGTGCATGCCTCTGAATGGTTGTGGTGATATGAGATAAGGGGAGATGTAGGTTTCCACTTGCTCCCCAATTCCATTGTGTATTATTTCAAGCTTCAATGGGTTTGGATGTAGGGACCAAGTAATATTTTCTAAGTATTCATGTTACCATCTGAAATGTTCTGCCTGGCTTGTCCTTGAGTATATTACAAATCCCTTCCTAGGACTTCTTTGCGGTTTTGCTCAATATGAAACTGAAAGACTCCAGTGTTTTATGCAGACCTTGCGTAGCGATGTCGCAAATGCAATTCACAAACAATATATATATACGAAGCTCTATTTACTTTATTGACTGTTTGTTTCAAATCCATTTCACCCATTGATTTTGCAACACAAGCTTTTGCTATGCATGAAAATTACATGCACTTGTTAATTTAAATTACACCCACTCTGAACTTCATCGAATTGATATCGCCCCC